ACTTTAGGGGCCTTAATAAGTCGAACAGGGCTTTGGGGCCCATTATACTGAATAGTTATAACAAAGGCCCCCCCCCCCCCCACCCTCACAAAAAAGTTTTGGTAATAATCAAGGCCCCTATATTACTCCTCGCGAGTCTGGTCGGGAGATGCGAGTCCCAACATGCGAAAGATCTGCTCTTCTCACCAAAGAGAAAGTGTACATACGAAGATACTGTAGGGTGTATGATACTATAATTCTAATAAGGAGCCCCCAAAATAGCATAAGTAATTATTAAGGCCTCTATAGTACACATCGGGGTTGAGGGTGTCGGATTCTCAAGGCATGCATGAGCCATCAGCCTAACACCCTCTGAGCTGCAAAACTTGAACGTTTCAGAGTGCAGTGGGCACTATGAAAGCCCTGAAATACTTGTGCCAACATATGAAACTTTACCCAGTCTGGAAGGGACCCCAATTGTGCCAATCCCCATTTGACCTCCAAATCCCAAAAGCCGTGCAGCACCCATCGGCCGACAAGGAACACCCGAGTCAGCTGCCCACGAAGTTCGCAGTCCTCAGATTCATTTTAGACGTGTATGTCCTAGTCAGTCCTAGCCTCACCGAAACGCCCCAAACGGCACAGGAGTAGCATGCATGCTGGACAACCCATGACTTGCACAGTCCGGGTGCTTGTGAAGGTTGAAGTCTGAGGTTCCATCATTCTAAGGTAGAACCCATGGGCCCCTAGTATGGGCCCTTAACCCCGGGACCCTAATATACCTACTATATACCCTATATATACCCTGAAGGGACCCTAGAATCCCCTAAGGGCCCATGTCTGGGGCCCATGGGTTCAACCTTAGAATCATGGGGATACAGAGTGACTACTATGCCTTCCATATTACGACAACTCAGATTTGGAAGTTTCCGAAAACAAGGGGTACCTTGTTTTGGGGTCCTTATGATAAGGATCCTACTATTTAGGGTACTATATGAGGGTGCCCTATTTTCGGAAACCCCCATTTATGTCTGTGTAAGAACCCAGTTGTAGCTTTGAGCCCCTACAGCTGCCAGGGAAGAGCCTGGTCACGCCGAGACAGCCCTAGGTTGTTCATCCGCACATCTTCACGGCCTGAACGAACAAAACCCATAGCTCTAATATAGGGGCCCTGATAATTAGAACAGGATCTTGGGGCCCAATATACAAAAATTAAAAAAGGAACCTCCGCAATAGTATTTAGGCCCCTATATTACATTTCAAAACCTTAAACCCCTCAAGTTCCTCTGCCTCAAAGTCAAGAAGTGTGGAAACGGATGATGCAGAAGCAATAAGGGTACGCCGAACGCTTTGGGTGTCCTTTCGTCCTCGAAGACTCTAGGCTACTGTCGGGGCTTTATTTCGAAGTCCCCAATGTCCCGAACACAACAATCCACCGGAGCTACGAAGCCAACCAGCCCTGCCCGGCCTGGGATTTCTTCAACCCTAAACTCCCTAAACCCATCACGAAAGTCACAAAGTCCGAAGACCCGAACCCAAAGCACTGATATATGCGTGCCGGAGGTCACAAGCAAACCAAGCCAGAGTTTGGAGATCATCCGTTGTCTGCTCCTTAAAAGGTTACGACGTGCGGCTTTGGGTTCTGCTCTTGTGTTTTTGGTGCTGGGAGGTGCTTTCGAATGACAAGGATGTCATGTTCAAGCTTTGAGATCTTGTGGCTGTCGGGACCACGATCCTGCGGATGCTGAATGCAGGATGGCTTGCAAGAAAGCGGCTTCGGTTGCACTGGCTCAACTTGTGGGTTTGATGTTTACGGCTTTATATACAGGGTGTTGGGTTGATGTACAAGGTTTAGGATGGCTTCTTATTGGAGTCGTGCAATTTGCTTTGGCTGCTCCGCCGCCAGCTGCGATAGACTAGATGATGGCCTTAATCATGTGACCAGGTTGTACTGGGTGTGCTACATAGTGACTTGTTAAAATGTTTAAAACATAGAACCCGAAAACAAGCATCCTACCACTGTCTGGGTTAAGACCAGATTTTTTGGGGGTTCCATTTTGCAGACCTTTCCGGATTCGCGGGTAGGGGCAGACCTCTGTACCAAGTTCCGGTGCAGGCTTGCGTTGTCGGAGATAAAACCTGGGGGCTTTGAAGCAGAATGATTTTTGGGTTTGAAAACTACTGTCGAGTGAAAATCAGAAGAGCATCCCAAACTTAATACAATGTAGATCCCTAATACATATCTCTTCCTTTGTTCATGAAGGCTGAAATCGCGATCTGAAGCCCAAGAGCATTCAAGAGAAAGGGTTTATGAATCAGGGTCTACAGCGAACCCGTAAATTACATATATTACTCGCCGGTTCCTCGGCTGTTTGAGGTAGGGTAACTATACTTATAAACCAGGTTAGGGGACTTATATCCCAACTTGGAAGAACCCATGCACCTCACTACAGCACCCGACCCGTGATGTTCGTAGAAACAGAAATCATCAAGCTCTCAACAAGGTTCAACTGCTAAACCTCCGAGTGCGTCGCACCAAATCCTATGTTAACAACCTCAAGCACACGTTAGACAGCCGAAAACCCTAAACACCCGCAACCCAAACGTTTTCTCAAACCTTAACCCAAACAACTTTCCCACCCCTAAACCCAAAGGTTTTGACCTGGGCACATCCACGTGGGTCACCAGCCGCGCATCGAAGCTAAGTGGCGGCGCGTCTTTCGAGACATCACCCGGCCTCCTCACGGAGATATATA